CATATTGTATAATTCCAGTTATATGAAATGTCCAGAATAAGCAAGTTCATGGAGATAGAATGTAGATTAGGGGTTTCCAGGTGCTGGGAGGAGGGGGGTGGGAAGTGACCACTGATGGGTATGAGTTTTTTTTTCTAGGGTGATGAAAATGTTCTGGAATTATTAGATAGTGATTTTAGTTGAGCAACTCTATGAATCATATTGAATCATACACTTTAGAAGGGTGAATTACATGGTGTGTGAATTACATCTAAACAACTCCAATTCTGTACCGATCTTAATAAATATTAATAAAGGGCGCCTGGGTGGCTCAGTTGGTTGAGCGACTGCCTTCGGCTCAGGTCATGATCCTGGAGTCCTGGGATCGAGTCCCGCATCGGGCTCCCTGCTCGGTGAGGAGCCTGTTTCTCCCTCTAACCCTCCCCCCTCTCATGTACTCTCTCTCTCTCTCATTCTCGCTCTCTCAAATAAATAAACAAATCTTTAAAAAAATAAAAATAAATAAATAAATAAATATTAATAAAGCTTCACTGTGTCTACAACGGCCCCCACTGTCCTCTAAGATCTGGCTCCAAACATCCAGTTTTATCCCCTACTCTGCCCCCTTTAAGGAAGTCCTACTCTCCCCTCCTCCTTGTCTTTGTTCCCACTGCTTCCTGCTTCCCTTGCATCGCTCCACACCTGAATCCTACCCCCAGGGCTGCAAACCAGTGGAGCTCTATTCCATCTACAGTCGAATAGAGCCTGCAGATGGGTTCACAGTGGGGGTTTGGGGGTTTGGTCTTTTAACTGAATTAGTTTCCAAGAGGAGATGTCACATAAATGTGGGTATTCTGGCTAAGACAGATTCTGCTGGCTCCTGATCCAACAACCATGCTCCCCTTCCTCCCTGTTAAGGGAACCCAGTCCACCTCTGTGGATGAACCATGTCATCCCACTTATCTCTGCAGGAATTGGTCTGGGGTGCTACTGGAGCAATCAGAGCTCCGAGCCACAGGCAACGGAGAAAAGCTCTAGCTGTTTGAACAGAAAACAGTTTATTACGCGTCATAAGCCAACTGACTGTAAAGTTAATGAAGCTTAAGCTTTGGGGCCCTCCCTTGCACGGCCCCCCTATGAATTTCTAGGTTAGGTAGGGAAGGCAGGCTATAACCAGTGGGCATTTCTACATGAACATTTCTGGAAAATACCCTAAAGATATCCAGGAGAATGGGACCTGAACTTCCCAAGGTACAGTATTTAGTATGATTTCTCTACTCATTTTAAATAAATGTTCACTTTCATACTTAATTTTCCATGTTAATGAATTAGATGATCCAGATGTTATAATTAAAGACATGGATTTTAAAGCAGTTATTATAGCTATGCTCAAAGTGGTAAATGAAAATATGCTCATATTGAATGAACAAAAAAAATCCCAGTAGAGAAATAGAAACTATTTAAAAAATTATATAGAACTAACTGGAAATTCCAAAACTAAAAATTCAAATATTTGAAAGGAGGCTGGAAGAGTGCGTCTCCAGGATTCTACCCTGGAGGGGTAGGATCATGAGGCTAAAAATTCTTCAAACATAGCCAGGGTGTTCAAGGGCACCAGACAGTCAGAAAACATGGCAAGTGTCCTCTAAAACCTGTGACCCAGTTCTGTCTAATGAAACAAAATGGAGTGTCCTGATAAAAAGAAAAGTACGAGAAGGAATGATCTCATCTCCTCCACTCTTCTTTCTGCCTTGAACTGCTGTGTCATGAGAACATGATGATGCTTGGCGTTATGGCAGCCATTTTGCAACCTTGAGGAGTAGTAGTGAGAAAGGAGACATAAAAGCTAAGCCAGAGCCCTGATACTACAGATCTGCTGAATATACTACAGAAGCCCTCACCTCTGGATTTCTTGTCATGTGAGATAAGAAACTTCTCTTAATTGGGTATTTAATTCTCTTAATTGTTACTTATAGCCAAAGTACACTAACTAAAACACAGCTTCTCTTGAAAACAGAGAGATCTGGCAAGACCAGACCTACTAGCCTCTTAGACAAGGCAAGAGCTCTCTAGTCATGGACCTGCTTGGTCCCCACAGGCAAGTGAGTTTGCAATCCCTGCCTTATACATCTTTGAGAGATGAATCAACTGCCCTCTCTCCTACAAAGCCCTCCCTGTCTCCGGCCTCCCTGCAACCCCCACCCCACCTGGCTAGAAGTAATCTTCCTCTCTTTGGAATTCCCACAGTTTTGTGGCTGTGCCATCTCCTGTTGTAATTGTGCGTTTCATCCCCTCCCACTTGGCTGTCAGCCTTCTGAGGGCAGGAACTGCGCCTTATTCATCCCTGTATCTCCTTCTGCCGTCTAGCAAGGTACCGAATACAGGACACACTCAATGCATGTTTTCTAAATAAATGCATAAACACCCCCTGCAGTGAAAAATGTCAGTGTTCTGCAACACCCCATTCTCCAAGCTCACCAAGGAACTTTTAACTGGTGACCTGGGCTTCTTCTCAATCTAGGAAAACAGTATCCACCATACCCCAAAACTCCAGCGACCCCTGAACCTGAACTCTGTTCAGCCCTCAGCCCCAGTGACCCAGAGTGCACCTGTGACAGTCCACTCTGAAGCTTGGGCCTGCCTTAGCTCCCCCTTTACTCGGGAGGCATGTTGGGATAAAGGTGATATTCCCAGGATAGTCTGGGAAAAGCAGCCAATCACCACAGACTCCAGCAAAGGATGAAAATGTACACACATGCAAATCTCTGAAAGGCCAGGCAACCTGAAAACACGTACAGCAATTATAGTTCCAAATGGGAGGGAAGGCAGCTCAAGGTTCTGCCTCAGGGGGCTGTGTCCCACAGAGGACAGGGACCTGCGGAGCACCTCAAGTTGCTAACAAATCCTGAGCAGCATGACTTCCTTTTATATCAATCCTGGATCTAACTTAACCTTGCACATGCTTCTTGAACTGGTGGTTGATTTGTAGTTCCAGCTTTTGGTAGGTTCTCTGCTGGTCCCTAGTTCTTGTCTCTAAACTTGTTTGTTTTTAATTTTGGTAAAAAAACACATAACATGAAGTTTTCCACCTTAACCATTTTGAAGTGCACAGTTCAATGGTGTTAAGTACACCCCCACTGTTGGACAACCGTCACCACTGTCCATCTCCAGAACTTTCTCATCCTCCCAAACTGAAACTTCGTACCCATTAAACGCTAACTCTCCATTGTCTCTTCCCCTGGGTCCTGACAACCACCATTCTACCTTCTGTCTCTATGAATTTGACACCTGTAGGTATTTCCCATAAGTGGAAAGTATTTGTCTTTTTGTGTCTGGCTTATTCACTTAGCGTAAGGTCCCCAAAGTTCATCCATGTTGTAACATGTGTCAGAATTTCCCTTCTTTTTAACACTGAATAGTATTCCACTACATGTGTATACCATGTTTTGTTTATCCACTCATCTTTCAGTGACATTTGGGTTACTTCCACCTTTTGGCTATCATGACTAACGCTACTCTGAATGTGGGTGTACAAATATGTTTAAGTCCTGCTTCCGGTTCTTTTGTGGACCTGGCCTCTGACTTTCCCCAAATCAGTCAAGATCCCGACCTTGGGCATGGAATTCTCTAGGCCAGTCTCTATTCCAATGGGAGAGAAAGAGAAGCCTGGGCTGGGCTCTCAGGTGATGCCATGAGAAATGTTCTGGAGCCAGAGCTGAACTGGCCGAGAACTCCAGAGCAGGTTCCTGGCCCCTCCTGATGGGAGGGCAAATCAGGCACAACATGGCAAGAAGCAGAGAAGAGTGGGACGTCCCCTCTGCCCCTGCGGGAGGAGACACATACCAGTGCATGGAGGAGAAGAGCAGGACAAGGAAGGCCTCTGTTCCCCAAAAGGGCAGGCATGCAGCAGAGGAGGCCCCAGATGGTCAAGAAAGGGCAGCCCAGGCTGCAGGGGCAGAGGTTATGAAAAGGATGGGGATGCCAGGACTAGTGCTATTCAGAAGACCTCAGTTACAAGGGTCCCGGCGTGCAGATGGGGGGGGGGGGTGAAGGGTGGGGGAGGGGGAGCAGGAGGAGGCTGGAATATTCTCATTTGACAGATGGGCCTCAGCTCAGCCAACTCCTGAAGTCCAAGAGGCACAAAAGCAGAAATCTAAAGGGCTGGTGAGGCAGGGGCTTGAGGGTGCATCGTGGGTCCATGACTGGCCTTCCGAGCTACGTGTTTTTGAGTTTTAGTAGGAGGGTGGGCAGACTACAGCTGTGGGCAAAGGTGGAGTCTGGACACTTGTGAATCCCTCTCCTTGTCTGCCGTAAGCACCTTTCCACTGGCTACATGATATTTTTCAGTGCCCAAGTGTCTAGGTTCAGGTACCAAATGAGGACAGCCTGGTAAGGGCACAGCCACTGAAAGGAAAATTGATTGCTCTGTGGAACTCTGAACATCCTCAACTATAAAGATGACTTAAATCACCCCTTCAATGCCAGGACCAAGGTATAGACTCAAGGCTCTCACTTTTGCCCGGACCAAATTTAGGGGCTTCTCTGATGTCCCAGGAGCCAAGAGGGACTGCTGGTGGGGGCACAGCTTCAAGACCTTCCCCTTTTGTGACTCCAACACAAGGAGATTCCCTGATTTGATGCAGATGTTCCTGAAACCCACTCAAGCAAACCGGGGCTCTCAGGAAGAACTCAGAGGCAAGGCTGTCCCCTTAAATCCAGAAAACTCACCTTCCAGACTGTTCTGGGATCCCAGGAGTCTGTGAGGTCAGCCTGGACTTGGCCACAGTGACATGGATCTGAAGCCAGATCAAGGTGCCAAGGAGCCTGTTGGCTCAGCTTTTTACTAATGCTGGAGCCAGAGCCAAAGATGGCCTGATGTCTCCATGTTGTGGTGACGCAATGTCCCTACCAGCACCTCTCCTGCATGCTGGGCTCCACAGCTGCTGAGAGCTGTGTACTATGTAGGCTCCCGAGCTTGGGAACTCAGGGCTCAGGTCTCCACCCTGCTCCCTAGTACTGACCAGACTGATGGAAGAGCCCATCCATGCTGAGATCCCATAGGAGACTAAAGGCTCCTGAAGAAGTTTCTGGAGGCCATGTCAACAGCTAGGAGAAGAGGAAAAAAAAAAAGCAGTTTAGGTTAGCTGGCATAACAGTAGTAAACCTTAATTACTCCATATTAAATCAATCCCATTTAACCCTCACAAGTCCACGTGGTAGAAGGATATTGCCCTTACTGACATTTTACAGATGAGGAAATCATGCTCAGAGGGGTCAAGGAACTTCCCCAGGGTCATACAGCCAGTAAGCAGCAAAGCCAGGATTCAATCCCAGGCCTATGTGACTTGAAACTCTGTCCATCTCCCTGCATGAGAGTCTTGGTCCTTCTGCCCCTCACTCCCTGTGGCCACAGCCATGCCCCTCCAGGACAGGGGCCAGTGTGAGGAAGAGACATCGCTCGAGAGCACTAAGCACACTCAGCTGGACAATGACAAGTCAGCTACTCTCCATGATTCTTACATCCTTTCCAGGTCACTGCCTTAACTTACAGTCATTTTAGGCCACTGGCTCTGGGAAGGACTTGGTACTGAGTACGGATCCTCAAATAACCTGGTGGGGGGTGCAGGTCACCCATCTGACTCAAACTCACAGGGATCTTTACCTGAATGCTCCTTGAGTCTGAAGGTCATCAGGCTGGGGATTTGCAATGTGGAGAGAACATGACATGGAGATGAACAATGGGACAGCACCCTCCCCCCGCAGGGCCATCCAGCCTGGGGACACACAGAGGAGGCCAGGCCTTAGAGGTGGGGCAGTGCCTTGGCAGCCCTGTTCCTGCCCGTGGTCAGCCGTGCTGCACATTATACCATCCTTCTGAGAGTGCTGAGCAAAGCCTGTTGCGTGGACACTCTGGGCACATCCCCTCTTCAGGCCTGAAGCTCTCATCCCCAGGGGCTGTTGCTTGCTGAGAGCTCTGAGCCAAGGCCCTCTCTGGCATTGACCTTGCAGGGAGGGAGCGCCTCAGTCAAGGTCACACCCCCTCTCCTTAGTCTACTATCTGGCCTGGCCAATACCGGAGTCCGAAGGCCTGGACCCCTTGCCTCAATTGGGACAACTCTAAAAGGTCACCCCGTTTCCAGAGTATCTGCAGAACTGGCTGTGGCCTGTTGAATTTGCTCTGCCACTCAGCTTCTCCTTCTCCCAGGGGCTCTCCCTCGGCCGGAGATATGGCTCTTGGGAGCCCTCCCCAGGGAACCTCCGGGAAACCACGTCTCAGAGTCCTCCTCCAAAGGACCAGGCCTATGATACCAGAACTCTGCCTTCCTCTTCCTCTCATAGCTTCTTGTAACTTCTTCATACTTATCATTTTCCAACAAGAGCATACATTCACTGACAGCATATGCTACCCGCTTTTGTCTACCCTCCCCAGCAAGGCTCACCTTGCTCCAGGTACACACTAGGGCTCCAGTGATGAGCTTAGTAATTCGTGAGCACTAAGGCCAAAGCCCATCCACCCAGGGTCCACCATACACTCCACTAGGGAGAGGGAGGGTGGTGGACAGCAGGATCTAGTTTTCATGGGAACTCAGGATGTCCTTCCCCAAAAAAGTTGAATGAGTGGGGCTGGGGAAATCTGCCTAGCTCACCTATCCCCTAGCTCTCAGATCAACCCCAGGCATATATATGAGCCTCCAGCTGCCTGTGACCCTACTCACTTAGCTACTTTTGATTGGACCTGGGAGGGGGGTTGTCACTTAACCTTTGTTGATCCAATAAGACTCTCCTTCCTGGGAATTACCTTGGCCACGGAGCCTGGTGAATAGAGAGAAACTAAGGCCTGTCCTGGGACCCTAAACCTTCCCCATCCTGGTTCCAGCTTTTCCTGAGGCCCAGCCATATCCCTGCCCTTGGATCCCAGGAACCGCCCCTGCACCTTGAGGAGAATCCCACCAACAGCTTCAGGCAGCCCCCGTGGATTTCTGCCTTCTCCCAACCATACTCCCCACTAACAATGTGAGGTTCTGAAGTGGGTTGAGCACCACGGCCACATTCTGTGGCCACATTTACCTGGACACCATTTCCAAGATCTTTCTATCCCTAGAGCTTACTATGTAGCAGGGGTTTGACCCATGCCTAAGAATGAATGAATGAATGAATGCTACTGTTACTATAGGAAGATATGTTCCAAGTGGCAAAACCTCCAAAGTGAAATAGAAAGAGTCCATCCTGCTAAGGCCTATAAGACCTCAGCTGCCCTGCTCCTCCTTCCCCCTCCAGAGACAAAGATGTTGGGTAGAGTCTTGCCCAGAAGGCTCCCAAGGCCAAGTGCACCCTTTTCACTTATCTGGCTTCAGCCGTGGGGGGAGGAGGAGCTTTCATTTCTCCTTCCTGAAGGGGGAGAGCCAGAGCCTTTGCGCTAACATCATCCCTTTCCCATGATGTCCAGGCCCTGGGCCTTATGGACAAGGCAGGTCACAGGAATTCCTCACTTAGTCTTCACCTGGGACTGTCGGTCCCAGTTTACAAAGTAGGAAACTGAGGCAGAGAGCTGACATTAAACAACTCGTCCAAGGTCGCAGGGTAGTACGGGGCAGAGCTGGAACTCCCACCTAGCATCTGTCTGGCCTCGGGGCTGGGTCCTCTGTTCTACGGCCCCCTGCTGAGGTGACTGGAGGTGGGAGAAGAGCCAGCAGAGCCGGGCAGGGCTCACCCCCTGCTCCCGGGCTGACTGACAGGGAAGGCACTCCATGCTGTGTCAGGGTCACACAAGGACCCTCTGTGGGCAACGTCTCAGATGGGCCCTTTGTGCCTCCCAATGCCTGATTGTGCATTTGGCCATATACTGTGCAAGGAGCCGAGAGAAGCTGCGCTGACTAGGGGTAGAGAAGAATGGTAGCACTGTTCGAGGCCTGCCAGTCCCATCGAGCTTGGGGGAGGGGTGAGGGGAGCAGCCACACTCTGGGCCCCAGGAGCTGAGCGGGACTTTTTCCTCTGGGGCAGGGAGGGGCACCATGGGAAGGATCCCAGAAGGGAGAGGAGAGAGCTGGAGGGCCTTTTCTGGAAGGCAGCCAGTCCGCCTAGCCTGAGGAGTTCCTAGAACAATCCACCCTGCATGGTGGCTCTAATTTACAGCTGGGGTCCAGGCCCCAACTGGCAGGAATGAGACCAGCTGGAACTTGTGACCTGCCCATCCCCAGGCAGGGGTGGCTCTGGGTGGGGGCCAAGGCCAGCATCTTCATGCCTTGCGTTCAGATGGTAACAGTTGGTCCCTGGGTTATGCAGGCTGCTCTTCCTCAGGGTGGAAGTTTTAAGCCCGGGGCAGAATGTATGTTGCCCCAAGGCAAAACGTTCCAGCAGCCCGGGCAAGAGAAGAAAGGGGAATACGGAGCAGCTGTTCTAGACTTTTCCAGGCACGCTACGACTCCACGGAGAGAGGCAAACGCTCAAACACCTGGGACACACCCAGCTGTAAATTCACGAGGGCCCTTCACACTTCCAAGGGCGCTGCAGGGCCCGGACCTGTGACTTGGCAGTAGCGAGCGAGGAGCAGTGCTGACACAAGGGAAGCACCTGCTGAGTAGCGGGGAGTCAGAGAGGGGGCTTCTGGTGACACAGGCCACACGGCGTGAGGCACACGCTCTGGTGGGGAGTGGAGCGAGACCACGGGCTGGTGCCTGAACTCCGAGACGACAGGGGCATCCTAGGCTGCCTCCCTCCCTCCTCTTGCCCCGGGCTGGGACACACCCCGCAGCACCCAAAGTCAGAAAAGGGACGTGCCCATCCTCCCCCTCAGCGGCCCTGCCGGTGCTGTCCGGCCGGCGTGCTCCCGCCACCTAGTGGCGGGTCCGTGCTCCTCACCTGGAAGAGCCACTGGAGCAGGGCCACAGGGCAGTCGGGGGCGTGCAGGTAGAGGTTGCTCAGGAGGCCCGTGCGCAGGAAGGAGAGCTGCTGGGCCAGTGGGCAGCTGCGGAGGCAGAGGAGTGAGGTCGGGGTGGGTGGGGGGCCCTCCACGCAGGCGGCCCAGCAGCCTTTCCTCAACACGCCTGTCTCAGTAAAGCGGCGGTGGGGGGGGCGGGGGTGTTCCATATTTGCAGCCTCACCGGACGCCGGAATCACGACAGCACCTGCTAGGGACACAAACGCTTAGAGCCCCTGATGCCAGAAGCTGTCAGAAGGAAAAACAGCCCACGCCATCGCCAGAATCACTGGATCTCCATGAACATCTCTCAGTGTTTTAAGCACACGACTGGACAGTACGTTTTGTCCTTTCCCCGTGGCGGAGGGGGACACGAAGGGATTTACTGAGGTCGCAGGAGGAACCTGTGGGGAGGTGAGGAGAGAACCCGGGAGTCACGGCTCTCAGCCCAGGGTCCCGGGCTGCCATGGACAGGCGGAATTACCCGCGGGACCCATGTGGGGCCCGAGTCTGGGGTCTGGTTACACAGAGCGTTTCTGCCCCGTCTTGTGTTTTTCCGACACAAAGGACACCTGAGAAGACGGGAAAATAACAGAAAGGGGCCCAAGCCGGAGCCGTTCTGGGAAGGAAAGAACAAACAAGGGTGCCGCAGAGGATTCTTCAGAAACCGCGGGAGGGGCAGAGTTGGGGGACGGGGGGGGGGTGTCACTGAGACTCGCCTCCTGCCTGGGCTCCTACCCTGCGGTTCCCCTCACGACGGGACCCTGCTGGGCCTCTCCCTGCTGCCCTGAGCTCTCAGAATCAAAGGGCCAGCGTGCAGAGGAGCCTAGCTTTGAGTCCTCGGCCGCCCGCCCCCTAGACCGTGGGGACAGGCAGGATCCCAGGTCCCTGTAAAAGGAGTTGAAATGATTCATGTGGTCGTAGGGCCTGTGGTGGAAGGTGCTGCAGAAGTCACTTCAGAGTGGCTGGCTGGACTTCATCACCCTTCCTGGTTACCCCCAGGGAGGGTGGGTTTGGGGAAGGCGGCTCCTACTCTCTCTGCATTTTGTGAATGTTCCTCTGCTCTCTTGTTCTAGATGATGTTCCTAAGGCAATGAATAGGGATTCTAGGAAATGAAAAAAGTAATTTCAGGTCTGTTCTTTTTTTTTTTTTTAATGGCCAAATCCACACAAAGAACATTTCAGACACCGTTTAAAGTCATCACTAGATAGAAATTTCTTCAGTCAGCCCAACCTCTTCTCCTTTTTAAAAAGGACGTATTTTAATCTGCCAGGAACAGAATGCTCCAAAACAAAGATTCTCCTCTGAGCCAAGTTGCTGTCTCCTTGAGTATGTCCAGGCAGTTTACAAATTGTATATTTTTTTCCAAATTATTTAAGTTCAGAGGAGAAAGCAGCTTTGTTCCTAGGTCTGTGAAGCTGACCGCTCTAAAATAGACCTTTATTTGTGCATACGAACCCGTGTGCACCCCAGGGCTGCTGGCGCACTCTGCTCTAATTCACGTGCTCCGCCACACGGACACTTCATGGGCTGACCCTGCAATGCATGCGCGGTTCAAGCACAGCACCCCGAGTGCAGACAATACCCCAGTGAACAATGCCTGGAAGACCTCACGGACTGGCAGGTCTTGGCCAGAGGCCATGTGGCAAGGAGGCTGGTGCTCCAGGGACTCTAAGGAGACTCCAGCTCTGGCATTCCGCTCAGGGGGGGCACCCCACCACTTTCTCAGTAGGAGAACTGATTGTACAAGCCCCTGTGGGCTCAGATCAACACATTTCCAACTGCTGCTCTGAGGGAGAGCTACCCTTCGGTTGCAAGGTCTCCTTTTGGCTACCCCAGCCTCGCAGCTCAGTTTCTGCCAGAGAAAAGATCAGTCTGCCTTCAAGTTCATTGCTGCCCAGGGAGGTTTGGCCTGTAAGGCAAAGAGCAGGAGATAGGCAGGAGGGGTCCAGCTAAGCCTTGAAGCGAATGGCTTTCAAGGAATTCTGTGCTTAGAGCTCCATGAGATGCAAGGAATCTCTGCAGGCTGCTGGATCCCAAGCTGAGTGCTGCTTCACCTCAGGGGAACCACGAGCCTTCTCACCTTCAATGCAAGGGACAAGGCTGATTGCACAGACCTTGCCCTGATCTGCGGCAGGAGGGGAAGCCGGGAGGAAAAGGGTGGGCAAAGTAGGTGTGTGCACTGAAAGCTCAAAGACCTTGGGTTACAGAATCACTTGTTAAGTTTGCAAAAACCCACTTCATGTGCACAAGCCAAGAATGCGGACATGGGGCCCAACTGGGTGCTTTGCCTTTTGCAAAGCCAATGCTAAGTCAGAAGCCATCCTGAGAATGTCAGAGGACCCGGGGGTGAGAAGGGGAGGGACAGAGCCTTCTGGGCAGCAGATGCCACGCAGGCCTGGCTGGGCGAGAAGCCCCAGCTGTCCACTCTGAGGATCCCAGTAAGAGAGGTTCCCACCTGGGATGAGAGACCGTCACGGTCAGAATACTGCTAACCCCCCAGCCCCCGTGGTGAGGAGAGGGGGATCAGCCCCAAAGGGGAATCAAACAAAACACAGGCCAGCTTGGGTCAGCAGGTTGGGCTCTTGGGCAGAGCTGTGACCTTCTACTTGGACTGTGTGTTCCCGATGATGCCCAAGTCAACATTCCTCTAGGCTCTCTATCTTCATCTATTTTTTGGGCAGCAGTCCTGGAGGGTAAAGGATCCAAATGCCTTGGGAATCCCAAGTGATGGCAGAGGGATAAGCACCAAGTGTAGTTATTTATACGGTATCAGTTTCTGTGTCTTTGCCAAGTTCCTCAAATGCAAGTTTAGGGAGAACAGAAAGGAATAACGGTCAGAGCTTTCATCCATGTTCCTCTTTTTCTCTCTTTCCTTTGTTTAAAGATGAGTGAGCACCCTTCGGGTCAAGAGTCCAGGGATCCCAGCAACACCCCGGCTGGCTGCATCCGCTGGCTCTTTATTTTGGGGGGCAGGTGGAGCCAGTTGGGCCCTCAGCTCTGTCCACACTCTAACTGCTGGATTTATTTCACCCGGGCCTCAACCCCGGCCTGCCAGTGAGACGGGGAGACAGAAGGGACCCCATGAGAAAAAAAAGCGTTTTTTTTTCCCTTTTGCTTCTTATCCTGTTTCTGTTCTTGCTAGGACCTGCACCCCCACCTCACTTTACACATGCCTGGTAATGCAAATAGCCTATGTCTTCCTTGTAAGGGACAAGGAGTTAATGATCTCTAGAATAGATACCACCTAAGGAGGAACCAGGTGAGGAGGGGAGGAAGCCATCATATGCGTATTTCAGACCGCGGACTGGACATCTGGACACGAAGACCCCCTGGCTCCAAGGAATAACACCTGGGCCCTCGTCTTTGTTTTAACTGGTTCCTGGATGTCTGAGGAGACACATACATGAGGCCACCATCCTCAGTAAAAAACTCAGACCCCAAACAAAGATGAGACTTCCTGTTCTTTTCCTTTCCCACTGGTCTGGATGCTCCATCTGTGTCTCTCTCTATAGATTTTCACTAAACTCTGTTTTTACCTTCTGCTGGCTCACATCTGATTTCCGTCCTGTGTGAAGCCAGGGACTGTTTGGCTGGTCCTGAGGGAACCCCCCACTCCCCCCACCCCCCAGGTCCTCGGACCCGCCTGCCAGCAACACCAGGAAGAGGAAGAGGTCCTGGCAAAACCGGAGCCCGAGCTCAGCCTCAGGGAGACCCAGCGCACAAGCACACGGACATCCACATGGCTCAGACCCACCCGCCGCCTCCTGCCCTCAGACGTGTTCCTGGAGGAAGGGCTCTCTGAGCACACACGGTGAACACCTCTCCAGAACAGCGGCGGACAACCCCCCCCGCCCCCAGCGCACTCTGTGGGGGCCCAGAGAGGACCATGAATCATTCAGCAGGCAATCTCCACCCTTCCCAGGGAGATCACTCTGGCCTCTGAGCTGCATGTGGGCATAGGTCCCAACGCTTCTCCACTCAGGGGGATCGGATTTCCTTTTGAACGGCTGTCAAGGGAGGAAAAAGTTCAGCCCTTGGTACCAGCTTCTGTCATAAAGGCATGTGACTTTGGTTCCAGGAAACTGACCTGAGGTCACACATCCAGCTGGGTGATGAATGAGGGCAGACCAGCCAGGCCATCTCGGATCCCGGGGCTGTGGGGTCCAGGAGACGTGTTCTTGCACAGAAACCTGTGTAGGTGTGGCCCGGGAGGACGAGGCCCAGAGCCCAGGCGCTGAGGTCTCCCGCACCTGCCCTGCGCCCCATGCCAAGAGCACCCACTTTGGACTGCGGGAAGATGACACCCCTCCTCCCAGACGGGCAAGGAGACCTGATCTATTTCCAGAGGGGGTTCTTAAAACTCGCATTCACATTTCCCCCTAAAACCTCTGTTAAAAATGAGACGGAGTCATAAAATACAGAAGAGTGTAATAAGGAAAATAAAAGTTACCTGTAATCTCACAAAGTGTTAACTTTTTGTACGGCAAAACACTGAACCCTATTGCCTCTTGAGAGATCAAGTAACCTTTTATTTTCCCTTCGTCTTCATGCTTCCGGCCGAACACAACGGGGTAATTATTGAACCGCTATTTCCCTCTCTTGTGTCTGGGCTTGAGGTCCTTGGCACAAACAGGAAATAAGAGTGACCCCAAGGCTAAATGGTGACCTTCAGGAAGTGGCCCCTACCCACTGCGTAGCAGGGGCCCCCCGACCGGACCATGTGGAAGGCAGCGGGCATTCCTCCAGAAAGGCCCTGGGCTCCGGGCGAGGCCGCCTCTCCGGTGCCTCATTAGCATACTCGAGGGAGGAGGGTCTGAATTCCTCACCCCGGGGGAGCTGGCCGGCCACCTGGCCCCATTTGGCAGGGCTGCTCGGCCCCCAGGTCACCACTGCGGGGGCCCTGTCGTCTGTCAAACACTTCCTGCCGGCCGTCCAGTCTGGGACAGGAACCCTGCTGTCACACAGACCGCGGCCTGCGAGGCAGCTCTGCGAGACGCCTTCCTCTCTCCTCTCCTCTCTCCTGTTCCTTCCCCGCCCCTCCCTTTTCTCCAGCGCCGCTATCCTTTTCTCTTCAACCCTGGTTTCTTTTTTCCCCTTTTCATCATCCCTTTATGAGACACCTTCTCAGCGTGGCGACGGCAGCCTTTACCAATATGCAGACGCTCAGGTCCAGTCCCCGCACGTCGCTTCCAGGGCTACGCTCCAGACAAGTATCTGCGTATGAAGATGTTCTCTACCACATTGCTTATAAAAAAGCTCAAAGTAACATATATGCTGAAGAAAATGGTTAAATATGTTGAGGCATCAATGCTATGCAATGTTCTCTCACCATTCACATTACGACTAATGGTGATGTTAGGGCCTTGTTCAGATCCTGATTTGAACAACATAGAATACACATTTAGAGGATGATTGGGGAAATCTGAACACCGACTGATAGCAATGGTATGAAGGATTTGTAGTTTTTAGGTGGAATAATGGCATTTAAGTTATATCTAAGGATAGAGTCCTATCTTTTAGAGACAGACACTGAAGTACTTACAGATTCAATTAAATGTGTCTGGGATTTGCTTTAAAATAATACTGAGGGGATAATGTTAGTGGGCAGGGGTAGAGATGGAACAGGATTGGCTTTGAGCTGATGGTTGCCGAAGCTGAGTGATGACTATATGGGGAATCATTATACTGTGCTCTCTATCTATACTTGAAACTTCCCGTGATATGAGATGGCTTTAGAATTAGTGAAACAGACCTAAGGAAGCCCTGAATAGCTGGAAACCACCACAAGACTCCTGCTTTCAAGAGACCAGAGATAGTTCAACCTCTGTGCTCCCCATGGGCTGGTGCGGGCCCGGCGGCCTCCTCCCCATCCCCCTTGGCCACCAAGGCCCAGCAGGGCGTCGGCCTCATGAGCACAAGTGGTCAGCTGCACTGAGTCCTGCGGGCTTTCTCTCTTAATCTCAGATAGATGAACTCACAACTCCAAGTGTTGGATGTGATTGTGGTCAAGCTTTTAAAATCCCCTTAAAAAGCAACATAGCCCATGGCTGCGTGATGACGTAAATTTCCTTCCACGGAGTCGAGCCACGGGGCAGATGTCCTAATGTTACACAGTGTGCACTTAGGGCCGGGGACAAACTTTTCAGTGTTAGTATCACATGGACAGAAGAAGGGTGGTGTCTCCAATGAGCAGATGGAAGTGACGATGACGTGCCTTGGAAAACTGCTGGATGGCCCAGAAAGCGGCTCCAGTGTTGAGGGAGACATCACCCCAAAGGCATGTAATGGTGAGTCTGACTACAGTTGTTCCATGAAACTGGGGTGCGGGGGAGGAAAAAGCAGTATGAATACATAAATATACAACCGACCTAATATTTACGACAATGTAGGGCTTTTTAAAAGTATGTGCATCCAAATCAGCAAATTAAATATCATAAGCAGACATGTGGGACTATTTCATCCCACAGTCCTGAAAGCTGACATGTCCAAACTGGCTCAAGTACAGCTTTGAATTTCCTCATTTGGGCCAGTCCTTATCATTGGGCTCCATGAGGGACCAGGCCTGGCCATCCCATGCCGACATTTACCTGACGAACAGTTCTTCCAGGTGGCTCCGTGGCTTCAGCTGTGAACGGTCCAGGAGGCAGTGCAGGGGCTGATGCCTGGGTAGAAACACAGTCTCCCCGGGATGTACTGGTGGGATGACCTGCAGTGACACGGAGAACCTCTCCACCAGCATCCTGGCAAAGCAAGGAGCCGGAGAGGCGCGTGTCAGCAGGCGCACCTGGTCTGTAGCCTGGAGGGAGGCCAGGGAAAGCCAGATGGTGCCCCTGCCTTGCGACGGTGGCCTGGTGGGGAAAAGACTGGGGGGAGGACAGCGCCACCTGCTGGTAAAGGAGGAGCCTATGAGATGCAGACTCAGGAGCGCTTCCCCATCCCACTCTGCGTCCTGCATCCCAGCCCCTTCCTCAGGGCTTCAGGAGCCAGAAGTCCTGCTCCCAAACCCAGCACCGCCCATTGCCTTTGTTCAGCTCAAACTTTCACTGAGCACCCACAATATGTGGGTGCCAGGTGCTGAAGGATGAGTCAGGCGTGGGCTGCCATTGCATGTCTAGGAGAAGGATAAATAAATCACCACAGTAGCCTTCAGCAAATGGGCTGACCACAAAACTGCCTACACGGTCTGCCAGGGGCGGAGGAGAGAAGCTCTGGGTGTGGCCAGGGTCAGGGAGGGCATCCGCCCAAGGAAGGAGCCTGGATGTTTCTTCTGGGACACCAGTCCTCAAGCTCTTGTGATCAGGAGGACTCCCCAGGGATGCCCAGATGCCCAGGCCCTGCCTTGTGAGTCTGATTAGTAGATCAGAGCTGGGTCCCCTGGACAGGGAAGGAACAGAGAGAAGAAGGGATACATTCTAACTCTACTGGGAGGGGTAAAAATTGTCAGGATTGAATGACCCATTTAAGAGGGAGTGGGGAAAAGGGAGGCAGTTAAGACAATTCCTAAGAACGGAAGTGTGTGTGTGTGTGTGCGTGTGTGTGTGTGTAGAGGTATACACACAGACGTATACACACACACGTTCTTAGAAACATGGAACAACCCCCCCCCACACACCTGACGTGCCCAGCTATGAGCTGGAGTCATCCCTAGGGGATAGGATTTGGGGGAGGGGCAGAAGAGACATTTCCTGTTTACTTCCTACAACTGTGTTCTGCTTGATTTTGTGGAGACAGAACACACATTTGACAATAAAAACAGCAAAAGAGAACAAGCTACAAGCACTGCATCCCTTCCTGTCACCGGAGGACGGTGAACTCGGAGCGGGAGCAGCACTCAGGGCTCCTGTCCGGGTCTGGGACGCAAGCAGCGGCTGCTGGAGGCGGGGCAGCTGGCAGCCCACCACTGGCCCTATGAGATTTGCTCGCTTTCTGGCCACCGGCCCGAGAACAGGTGCCGATGCTCATCACAGGGCCGTCCGGAGGCTGAAATGGCACATGGTATGGAAATGACATGAAAACACCAGGGAGCTTCTGCTCCTGTGGGTTTTTTGCAAGCGGCCTGTGCAAACCACCACACAGACGGGAAAACATTCTTCTGTTTTGTTCATTGCTTTGCCATTTCAGCTTTTGAGGATCTATGGCTTATGTTGCTCGTATATTAAGGAAAAGGTGCAAATTATTAAAAGTCTGTAGGAATTAGGCTCATCTGTAAAAGGGTCTTAGTCTTGTCCCCCAAACCATCACACAAAGGGACTTTTGTGATACTAAATATAACGTATGTGCATTATTAAGAGTTCTGAGATGACTCTTCCACGTCTAATTGGGGATTTCCTGTGCAGCCCCAAAGTGAGGATAAAGGATGATGTTAGGGTTGAAATATTCCCCCCTCCCCTGCCCCAGCACACACACACAGTCTTTTAACTTTAAGAAATACAGAACGTAGGATGGCATCCATTCAAGATGCAAGCCAGTCCTTAGAGCATGAGGGGATGCTGGGCTCTGGGTACTTGTGGGTCTCTTCCACGGCGGGCATCCACGGCAGGCGTGTGACTCCTGGTCACAGACAACTGCTCTGGCAGATGGTGGCTGGCCCCCAGCCGCAGCCTCACCCCTTCCAGACCCACGTCCGTCCTTGGCCCCATTCAGGGATAGAAGAGGCTGCTGGCTTTGTGTATCAGTGAGTAATTTTCTTTGAGGCAGAGAGTCGAACTGTCCCATCAAAATGATCCCACATCAAAACCACCACCTCAAAGTGGCTGTTGTCAAAAAGGCTTTCTCAAAGTACTACTTGAAAATGTCAAGTGCCCAGAAAATCATCGGCGATTTCAGAGCCTGGGACACCTGGCTTAAGCCGGTTCCCTAGATAACTCCCTTTCTGTGGGAAATTTCAAAACACCCAAGCCATGACTTCCAGAAGCCTGGATGCACTCAGTAGAAACGTCAAGAGCTAAAATCGCTATTCTTGCTACTGAGATTTTATTTTTTATTTTTTTAAGAGTTTTTATTTATTCCTTTGAGAGAGACAGAGAGAGTACAAGCAGGGGGAGAGGCAGAAGCAGGCTCCCCACTGAGCTGGGAGTCCGATGTGGGGCTCGCTCTCAGGACCTGGAGATCATGACCTGAGCCCAAGGCAGACACCTAACCATCTGAGTCATCCAGGCTCCCCGCTACTGAGATTTTAAAGAGGGTTTAAAAGGTTTCATTCCAAGGTTACGTATCCATTGAGTAGGAAACCTGGAAACAAATCCATGAGCCCCGACTTAGAGAGACAACTGTTTTTATCACTTATGATGCCACCAAGGCACTCTTGTCCAAAGAGGCCTTTAGCCCAAACCCAGTGCTTCCACTCAGTCTCCACATCCGCCCTTCTGGGTTCGCTGTGCACCCTGCATGGCACCCCTTCTCTGGGCCTCTAGGCAGCATGTTAGTAGCTCTCCCCCCATGTGGGATGGCTGTTCCAATCTGAACACTCACAGGTGTTCACAGTGGAAAGTATCAGTGAGGAGGCTGGGGTCCTCCCTAACCAAGGCCACGGGTCAGCAAACTGCCGTCTGCGGCCAACCCCTGCCCATTGCTGTAAACAAGGTTTTATTGCAACATAGGCATGTTTATTCACTTATGTATTGTCTATGGGAGCTTCCCTGTTACAACAGCAGAGTTGAATGGTTGCTGCCACAGAGACTGCATGGCCCTCAAAGCCTAAAATATTCACTATTTACAAATACAGAGTTTGCTAATCCCTGATCGAGTCCAGAGATGGTTATCAGAAAAACTTGAGGGAAAAAAAGCAAACAGCCAGCCACAGTGATGTTCATAACCATCTCTGGGCAATAAAAACAATGTAAACCATTTGGGGGTCCTAAAATGGAAGCCCCAAAGAAGTCTGTAGGTTGTCACTCAACATTCCCTTAGTAAGTGGAAGCAGAATGCTAACTTAGAGTGTGCACAAAAACTTGAGCTATCACTGCTTAGACCAATGCTTAATAGCCTAACTCAGGCTGACAGAAAAAAAAGGCAAGCCTGGACAGGCAGATGATCTAGGGCATGTTCACCAACCTGCCCTCAGCCACATGGCTGAGGTGACCTCATCCCCTGCAGTCCACCCCAGCCCCTCTGGCGCACTGGGTTCCTGAGGGAGGGAGGGAAGGAAAGAGGGAAGGAAGCAAGGGAGGAACCAATTAAAAGAAAAAAAAGGAAGGGAGACATACAGAAAGATCTATCCTGACTCTACTTCCCCCTTCAGCTACTGCACATTTTTCTCTTTCGACCTCTCCTCCTGTTCTCCTATGGGCCTGTTCCAGTCATGTTCACCCCCAGCACTCCACCAGAGCTGCTCTTGTCAAGGTCACCGTGACCTCTACATTGCCCCCTTGAGCCTGTTTTCTCTCTAAACTTGCTCTCCAGGTGAGCTCATCCAGTTTGTGGCTTTAAACGTCACCTTGGTGACTCCTGCGCCTGCCTTTCCGGAAGAGGGGATCCAAGACGTCTCCTTGGTCTCGCCTCGGGATCCCCCAAATGAACTCTTGACCTCACAAGTGCCCCCACTACAGCCTTCGTCACTTAAGTCTTCCCCAGTTTAATTAGACAACTCCAACCTTCCAGGTGCTCAGGCCCAAATCCTGGGGGGTCCCCTCTGATTCCCCTCTTTCTCCCATACACTCCATCCAGTTCATCAACAAATCATGTCAGTTCTACCCTAAAAATATATCCAGACTGTGCCTACTCCTCACCACCCACCCTCCCTCCCAGCCTCTTACTTCTCAGAGGATGACTGCCATGGCTCATTTGCCCCGTCTCCTTTCTTCTGCCCTTGCACGCCACCCCCCTCCGCCCCAGGCTCCCCAGTTTATCCTTGACATGGCGGCAGAGGATCCTGTTCAGAGCGGTGGCGGCTAGCTCACAGAGAGGAGAAGCTCAGGCATCGAGCCCACTCTTGGCCTCCCTGACCTCCTCTCCCCAGCCCTCCCCTCCATGGCTGCCGCTCTGCTCTCCCTGCAGGGCCCCCAGAGCTGCCTCTCATCTCCTTCACAGTGCCCTGCTAGAAGCCAGCCACCTGCTCATCGAGGTCTTCCCTGATCCTTATGCACAATCTCACAGGCCTTCCACGCTCCTCACGCTCCTTCCTCTCTTCGCTCAGGAGGACAGAGATTTCTGTCTGGTTTTGCTTTTGCTGTATCCCCAGAGTCTGTAACCGAGCCTGGTACAAAGTTGGACTCGGTGGATGTTTGCTGGTTGGCTGGCTGGACAGACAGTTGGATAGATGGATGGCTAACCGGGTACCCTGATGATGGATTCAACTACGGTCTCTCGGCGTCTCTGAGACCCTGTAGTACAGATGAGACCAGCCCTCCCTCCAGCCAATGGCCCACTTAGATCATGGCCAGCAGACACTCCCCTCCCCTCATGACAGCACTGACAAAAGCCACCTTCTTTTCCCCGGGTGGCGGGGGGTGGGAGATGAAAAATGTCACATGGCCACATTCTCCCCTTTAAAGACAGTTTTCTCTTAGACTGTGGTTTTGTAGAGTTACTTCCCCCAAGAGACCTGGTTCCATAAATTTGGGTGGACAGTTGGGGCCGAGTAGGCTGTGTTTTCCTTTCTCTGCACCCTCAAAGGCCCACACTGAACCCTGACACACAGTAGATGATCCAGTATTTCTGGAATCAATGAATGAATGTAGGGGTTTTCTTGAATGTTGGTTTAAGAAAAGGAGGCAGCTTGGGCGCCTGGGTGGCTCAGTTGGTTAAGCGACTGCCTTCGGCTTGGGTCATGATCCTGGAGTCCCGGGATCGAGTCCCGCATCGGGCTCCCTGCTCAGCGGGGAGTCTGCTTCTCCCTCTGACCCTCTCCCCTCTCATGTGCTTGCTCTCTCTCATTCTCTCTCTCAAATAAATAAATAAAATCTTTAGGGCGCCTGGGTGGTTCAGTTGGTTAAGCGACTGCCTTCGGCTCAGGTCATGATCCTGGAGTCCCTGGATCGAGTCCTGCATCGGGCTTCCTGCTCGGCAGGGAGTCTGCTTCTCCCTCTGACCCTCCCCCCTCTCATGTGCTCTCTCTCTCCTCTCATCCTCTCTCTCAAATAAATAAATAAAATCTTTAAAAAAAAAAAAAAAGGAGGCAGCTTGAGAACTTATAAATACACACAGATTGCTGGTTGAAATTCTGTCTGAAAATGAGAGCCAGTCAACACTTAAATCCTTTGCCTTGAGAGGCAGGTGCGTGGACTAGCCCCCCCACCGCCCCCACAAGTGGCCAGGCCCTTGCACCTCTTGTGCCCACGTCTCCCACCTGTGCTCAGGTGTGAGCGGCGCTTCATCCTCATCCAGATCCAGGGAGCTGAGGTGGGGGCGGCCGCACTGCAGAAGCACCTGCTCTCGCTCCAGGGCCTGGTCCCTGCGGGGAGCAGAAAGCCAGTAACAGAGGTCAGCACTGTCCCCAGTCAAGCGACCCAGGCACTGGGCTGCAGACCCTGTGAACATGTCAAGGCCTAGGAATAGGGACACTTCCCTGCACTCCTGTGTAAAGGCCCTCAACATGAGACCTGGATGGGGCGGGGGAGAGGCATCACATCACATCAACTGTGCTGTCTGGTTAAGCGGACAGGAGCAGACAGGCCTGAAGGAAAATTTTCACCACACAACTTCAAACTCGCCTTTGTGTACCTTGTTTAGGATGTGCCCACTTTTTTTTTTTTTTTTAAAGATTTTATTTATTTATTTGACAGAGAGAGACATAGCGAGGGAGGGAACACAAGCAGGGGGAGAAGGAGGGGAGAAGCAGGCTTCCCCGCGGAGCAGGGAGCCCGATGTGGGGCTCGATCCCAGGACCCTGGGATCACGACCTGAGCTGAAGGCAGACGCTTAACGACTGAGCCACCCAGGCGCCCCAGGATGTGCCCACTTTTTTTTTTTTAAATTATTTTTATTTATTCATGAGAGACAGAGAGAGAGAGAGAGAGAGAGAGGCAGAGGGAGAAGTAGGCTCTCAAGGAGCAGGTAGCCCGATGCGGGACTCGATCCCAGGACCCTGGGATCATGACCTGAGCCGAAGGCAGACGCTTAACGACTGAGCCACCCAGGCGCCCCAGGATGTGCCCACTTTTTGACACATCCGGGCCTGTGCTTAGCCCCTTCTCCTCCTCCCAGGGTCTGGCCACACTGACCTGGAGAGGCCCCCTAGGCTCATGGCTCCCGGAGCCCCTGACACACAGCCTGCCTTTCCGGCCCCAAGGGCAGCCCTTCCAGGTCCTGCGCATTTCCTTTTCTCCCTACACTTTGTTCTCCAGCCTCAGAGGCCTGTCCCCACCACAGCCCTGCATGCCAACCATTATCTTGCTGGAATCCTGACTCCCTCACCTCCCTCCCGCCCGAAACACACAAACCCCTGAGCAGGCACTGTCCACCTTCAGCCTTCTTGATCCTTGGTTCCTCAACAGCCTGGGAGCCTCCCCAGCTGTTGCCCTGCCCCTCCAGGTGCTTGCCCTAGCTTTGCCCAAAGGTCCTCAGTTCTTAAAGACTTTGCCTCCAGTCCAGGCTGCCATCAGGAGTTTGGATCCTCCCAGCCAGTGACAACTGAATGATTTCCAGCTGAGTGTGCCCGGACCTCTCCAAAGCCACATGTCTGGGTCTGAATTCCCTTCCACACAGGCTCCAGAGTCCTAGCCACCCAGGTCAGCAGACTTATCATAGCCCCAACTGCCTTCCTCCCAGGGCCCCACCCCATCACCGTTCACCCTACTTCCTCTCTCCCCATTCCCATCCATTCTCCATAATGCAGCCTAAGTGATCTCTGAAACACAGCGGGAAACACATCACTACCCACTTAAAATTCTCCCAACTCAACCCTGTGTTCAAGAGGTCTCTCGTGACCCAACTCCGGTTCACATCTTGGCTGCACCTCCTGCTATGTCGACCCCCAACCCCCACTCCCCAGTGCCGAGAATTCCAGTTCTAGTCGGCCACCAGAATATCTGTCATACCCACCTTCACATGTGTGGTCACCCATGACGCCCCCCCCCAAATCTCCTAATTCTCCTAGGTTCAAAGATAAGGATACCTGTGGGGAGCCTTTCCTGACCCCCAGGTTAAATGAGGTGCCAGTATTCCAGGCCCCTCCACAGCCACTTCACAGCATGGGAAATACTAGAAGCCATGAGGATACATGTCCAGGTGAGCAGCGCTGCCCCATCACCTCCACGTATCCAGTGTCTGGCGAGGGCCCGGTAGAGCAAGAATCTCCCAGTGCTGGGTGCCCTGATGAGCTTTACTTGCCCACACCACCGGCGTGGCAGTGCTCAGGCTATACACCTCTGTCAAGGCCACCTGCCTTTTCCCCTTCTCGCCCATGGAACGCTTGAACGGGAGCCAAGAGGCCCCCACACGGGCATGAATTGGGCAGAAGAGAGCAAGGGATTCCCCCTGCATCCCACCCACACCAACCCAAGATTCACGAGCCCCCCTGAACGAGGGTTCTGTATGTGGCAGAGGTCTGGGGCTTTCTGCCTTCCAGATGACCCCCTTTGACCTGACTACCGTTCCCCGTGCTCACTATTAATCAGAGCACACAGGGTGCTCCAGGAGACACGCTGTGATGGAGTGTGCTCGATCCTGATGGGAATGTGCTAAAGTCTTAGAGGACAACCCCCCAAAATTGCTGCCAACCCCACAGAATGAAGACCCCACGATGGACCTCTTCCCACACTCACCGCTTCTCCTGTAGTAAGTAATCCAAGCTATTGACGTAGCTCTCTGAGGCCCCAAAGGTGAACTGGAGAAACAGGACGTGAGAATGGGGGACAGAGAGAAAGACAGATAGAGGGGGGGAGAAGAATAAAATTAATCTAAATTAAGCCCTTTATTTATCTAGTTTATGTTTCTGAATAGGCAATACCCTCACATGATTAAAAACTCCGGAAGTATAAAGGCATGCGGTAAGCTGTCTCCCCGCACCTGCATCCCCAGCCACCCAGGGCCCTCCTCACAGGTGTTCACTCCTCTGTGTGCTTTCGGAGACATTTTATCCACAGACAAGCAAACAGTCATACATCACAGACTCCCCCCCAACCATAACGCATATGGTAGCAAACTATGAACCCTATTCTACCCTTGGCTCTGTTCAATTAATAGTGTGTCTTGAGGGTCATTCCATATCAATACTAAAAAGATAAGTTAAAAAAAAAAACACTTTCAGGGTACTCTAATGTAGGACTAGAACATAATGTATTAATTCCCTAGTGGTAGGCATTTAGATTATTGACAATCTTGGGCTATTATAAATAATTAAGACCAGGGATGCCTGGGTGGCTCAGTTGGTTAAGCGTCTGCCTTCGGCTCAGGTCATGATCCTAGGGTCCTGGGATTGAGTCCCACATTGGGCTCCTTGCTCAGCAGGAAGCCTGCTTCTCCCCCTGCTTGTGTGCTGTCTCTCTGACGAATAAATAAGGTCTTAAAAAAAAAAAAAAAGACTTCCCACAAGAAGAAAAAACTTCTACTTAAAAAGGAAACCAAACAAAACAAATAATTAAGCCCTATTCTCAAAATAAATTTCCTGGATCCATGGGCCCCTAAGTGTTCCCAGTCTACCTAGCAAGAGCTGTTTATTCCCACCCAGCTTAAAGTTCATCATTGACGTTTCCATTTAGACATTCCGATCCACTGGACCAGAGTCAGCCCGAGTCTTAGTGCCTGGCCTAACTTAGACCCAGGCACCAAGGTCCCCCTTTCCCCAAGGGGATAACCTCAACCAAGGCACAAAAGCCTTGAAGGCTCCCATGCAGAAGCAGCATCAAATTTGGCACCACCCAAGCCATCTGTTAGCAGAGGTTAGCAGCAGAAATAAGGGGAGAGATGCACCCCAGCCACAAGGGTCCAAGGGCTGGGGAGAGGTGGGGGGTATGCGGTTGAGGAGGGATAGTTAGGGGGAGGCGGCCAATGAAGGGCAGTTGGGGTACGGCCAAGGAAGAGTGGCCAAAAAGGGAGTGGCCAGGGGGTGACTGAGGAGGGGCAGCAAGGAGAGGAGGCTGGGGGCGCCGCTGGCTTACCAAGCTGTGGCTGTCCACCACTGGAGCTGCAGCCTTCTGGCTCGGGCCTGCCATGTTCCAGAACGGCTCCTCCAGTGAGGCCAGACTCCCCTGGGGGTCTGAGTCCTGGGGCTCCTGCTCTAACTCCTCAGGCAGCTGGTGGGCCCATGTCCTCAGGGCCTGTGGCCCTGCCACACCCACCCACCTCGGGGCTCGGGCCCCCCTGCCGGCCGGCGGTACCCTCAGGTTCAGGAACTCAACAGGTGGCGGGCTCCAGTCAGTGGGGAACAGGTCCCTGGCTGCATGCACCTTGGGCTTCTTTGACAATGTAGGAGTTGGAGCTGAGGCAGGACTGCGGCAGCGCCGGGTGGGGTGGAGGAGCCCCTCGTGCAGGGGATGGTCGAAGCAGCTGCCCTTCAGGCTGGGCGACAGGAGGGGCGCCACTTCCGCTTCCTGGGCCCCTATGGATAGGACAGAGTATTGTGGTACCCCCACTCACCCACCACCATCCCGGCCACTGTGCCATGCTGGGTGAGGAGAGGGGACAACTCCAGATTGATGTGGGCAGGGGAATGCGAGGGGAATCCCTCAACCGTGGGTTGTCCGCTCCCTCATGGCCTCAGGCCTCAGAACAGCTCTACCTGTGCAGGTGAGAGACACCTACCTTCGTTCTGAGGAAGGGCTGACGCAGTCTTCTCAGGCCCGGCCATCTGCAAACCGCTGGACTTTCTGTCCTGGAAGGAACTGTCTGTCAGGTGACATGAGCCGCCAGAAGAAAGCTAAATGCTCTGAAGTTCTAGGTTCCCTATGGAAGAGGGCCTGGGCCCACTGGTGCCCAGGAGGGAAATCCCCCTCCAGCTCTACCTTAAGGACCAAGCACGTGCACCATGAAGACCAAGTTGCTGAGGTGAAAGGGGCTCAATGTGACCTCTCATTTCAAGGATGTGATAGGCAAGTGTATGGACATCAACTTTTTTTTTTTTTAAACTTTTATAAAATCAAAACTAGCACAGCTCAACAGAAAAGATGTGTTCTGAGATGACATTCTGCATGTCTCGCTTGCTCGGTGTCACCCCTATAAAGACTGTTTGCTCACAAGGGGTAGGCCAGGGCTCTCTAGTCCCTGTCATTTTCCCAGAATCAGCACAGACCTGGCACACAGTAGGGTTTGATGCATTTCTGTTGAATGAATGAATGATTTAAAGAGATACCCAGGGCTGACCCAAGAAGCTTTCTCCAGCGTTAGGAACTGTCCGTCTACACCTGAGATGGATCATGCCTCACACACAGACATCTCTCATCATTGCAGGCTTAGGATCAGATAAACTGAAACGTACGTGAAAGGCTGATATCTGAATGAGCTACTTTCCAAAGGAAACAACCATTTACAAAAAACACAAACACTAACTCAACAAGTGTTCAAACCCAACCAAAATGGAAGACATTCAAATCAATATGCCTATGAAGTATTCTTTAATCATAATGAAATCATTAAAAAATTAAAAATTTATGATAAATGTTGATATGGCTGTGAGGAAATACATTTCTGCTGGTACTCTAAAATGGCTTATTCTTGGGGCACCTGGGTGGCTCAATCATTAAGCGTCTGCCTTCAGCTCAGGTCATGATCCCAGGGTCCTGGGATCGAGCCCCGCATCGGGCTCCCTGCTCGGCGGAAGCCTACTTCTCCCTCTCCCATTCCCCCTGCTTGTGTTCCTTCTCTCACTGTCTCTGTCAAATAAATAAATAAAATCTTTAAAAAAAAATAAAATGGCTTATTCTTTTTAGAGAGCACGCTATCAATATACAAATAACTGCAAAATGTTCATACCTGGGATTAGGGAATCCCAGAAACCTGTCCCTCCACAAAAGCAATAATTAAGCTAACAAAACCTGTCAGAACCAACATTTACAGAACTCTGAAATTTAACAAGAAAGTAACAACAAGCAGGGAAAGGCTTAATGAAGAAAGAAGCTGCTAAATTTCAGTACAGTTGTGTTCTGGATTTTGAACTTACCCGACTTCATCCCCCACCCCCAGTTAAGAGGCAGCTGGTGGGAGGCTGTGTTCCTGGTGTGGCTTTGCTAGTGACGGGGAGGGTAATATAAACTCTGTTCTCAAAGAATTGTGGTTGTATGTTTTGATCTCTATCCTGGCTCCCTGAGGGATCAACTCAGGGTCTTACCTTTGTTTTCTCTCACTTGGAACTTTCTCAGGGCTGAAGTGGCCTCCTGGGCAGCATTTGCTGAAAGCATTTAAAGGCAAGTCTATCAGCCACAACCACCCGGGGCAAGGGATAACAGGTGAGGCAAGCAGCAGGGCGTCTGAACGGCCTGAAAAGGAAGAGGCTGAGGAAGGAGATACACGGAGGAATAAAGATTTTAAAAACTCCCACATAAACCAGAGTCCAGAAGGCCACATGCATGCCCAGGGCTAATGCATGTTTAGGAAAGACCCCAGAAGATGGTAAATGTTAACCTCTGGCTGATCATTAGGCTCCACATAAGCAGGAAATGAAGGCGAAGGCAGAGTTGCCTAAGAAAGACCTGCCTAAGCTTTGAGGGAGTACTCCATCACAGAACCAATCTGCAAAGACCAGAAGAGTTTTATTGTGGTGGTGGTGGTGGTGGCATTTAAGGAATTTTCTAACTACTTACCAGTTAACCACTAAGCTTAAGGAACAGTGACTTCAGTGACCACACACAACAAATTAGTAATGTCTTTATAAAAATAGTTTAGAAAAGTCATTAAACAATCAACTACAACTCACAACCAGCAACAGCAATTCATATTGGCGGGGGGGTAGTCCTATTTCCAGGGTTACTGCATTATAATATTCAAGATGAACAATTTTCAACAAAAACTACAAGGCATGCAAAGAAACAACAAAGTATGGTCCATTCATAGACCAAAAAAGAATGAAAGAAACGGTCCCTGAGGAAGCACAGGCATTGGACTTACTAAACAAAAACTTTACATCAACTGTCTCAAATATGCTCTAAGAACCAAAGAAATGGTGAACAAAGAACTAAAAGAAACCAGAAGAGAATGAGGTCTCATCAAACAGGGACTATCAATAAAGATTTTAAAAATTATAAAAAGGAACCAGACAGAAATTCTGGAGTTGAAATACATTGAATTTCTGTCTCACTGGTTTTTAACAGTTTGAGTATGATGTTTTTCATTTCACTAAGCAGAAGGCTTCAACACCAGATGCAGGCTAGCAGAAGAGAGAATCAGTGAACTTTTATAGAGGTTAATTGAGACAGTCAATTCTGAGGCACAAAATGAAAAAAGAATAAGATGAACAGAGCCTCAGAAACCAGTGTGACACCATTAAGTACACCAATATATGCATAATAGGAGTTCCAGGAGTTGAGAGAGAGATGGAGATAGAGATGGCAGGGGTGGAGGGGGACAGAAAGAATACTGCACGTCCAAGAAGCTCAGAAAACTCCAAGTAGGATAAATTCAAGGAAATCCACACCTAAATACATCATACTCAAACTGTTAAAAACCAGTGAGAAAATCTTAAAAGCACGAAGAGAGAAATGATTTATCACCTACAAGGAAGTCTCAATAAGATTAACAGGTGATTTCTCATCAACCCCAGAGATCAGCAGGCAGTGAGATGAAATATTCAAAGTGCACAAAGAAAAGACTGGGAACCAAGAATGCTGTACCCAGTAAAACTATCCTCCAAAAAATGAGAAGATGAGATATTCCCAGATAAACAAAAACTGAGAAAATTTGTTTCTAACAAATCTGTTCTGCCAGAAATACTAAAGTAAATTCTTTAGGCTGAAGTGAAAGGACATTAGAAAGTAACTTGAATCCATACGAAGAAAAAAGAACAGTGATAAAGGTAACAACATGGATATACTTAAAAGATAGTATAAATGTTGTTTTTACTTGTAACTCTTTTTCTCCTGATTTAAAAGACAACTGTAAAGCAATAATTACAAACCTGTCTTTGATGGGTGCCCAATGTCTAAAGATAAAATTTGTATGACAACAGCAGCACAAAGGAGGGGTGGGAATAGAGCTATATAGGTGTGAAGTTTTGTATCTTATTGAAATTAAGTTGGTATTAATCTGAACTAGACTGTGAACTATGTGATATTTATACATAAATAAAAAAGGCAAGTACTACTATATTTTTGGTTTATAACTCTTTTTCCCCCACGGGATTTAAAAGACAAATGCATAAAACAACAATTATACATCTATGTTAATGAACACACAATGTTCAAAGATGTAATTTGTGACAATAAAAACATAAAGGGGAAGGATAGAATTGTATAGGAGCAGAGTTTTTTTTATACTATTGAAGCTAATTTAAACTAGATTGTTATAAATTTAAAATATAAATTATAATCTCCAGGATAACCACTAATAAAATAACTTGCAAATATAGAGAAAAGGAAATGAAGAAGGAATCAAAACAATACAGTACAAAAAACCCCCAATTAAACACAAAAGAAGGCAGCAATAGAGAAACTAAGGAACAAAAAAGATATAAGGTATATAGGAAACAAAATAGCAAAATGGCAGAAATATTTTCTTATCAGTAACTACTGTAAATGTAAGTGGATTGAACTCTCAAATCAAAAGGTAGATCCTGGCAAAATAGATGAAAAAACATCTGACTATACGCTATCTGCAAGAAACTCACTTTATAAACAGATAGGTTGAAAGTGAAAGGATGGAAAAGATACTCCATGAACACAGAAATCCAAAGAGAGCTGAAATAGCTATCCTAATACCAGACAAAACAGATTTTAAGTCAAAAATTACAATGGGACAAAGAAAGCCATGACATATTGATATAAGACTCATTCACCAAGAAGGCATAATAATTATAAACATTCATGTACCTCAAAAGAGAGCTTTGGCAGAGTTGAAGGGGGAAATAGTTATAAACTGATAGTTGAAGAATTCATTATCATACTTTCAATAATGTAACCAGACAGAAGATCAAAAGAAAACAGAGGACTTCAACAACACCATGAACCAACTAGACATAAAAGGCATCTACAGAACTCTTCACTCTTCACTCTTCACAGAGCAAAGAGTATACATTCTTTGAAAGTACACACAGAATTTTCTTCAGGATAGATCATATGTTAGGCCACAAAACAAGTCTCAATAAGTTTAAGAAGATGGAAATCCTTTATAAAGTATCTTTCCTGATCATAATAGAAACTAGACATAAAAAAAAAAAAGGAAAACTGGGAATTTCACAAATATGTAGAAATAAGACAACAAACTCTTAAACAACCAGATCAAGGAAGAAATCATAAGAGAAATTAAAAAATACTTGGGACACCTGGATGGCTCAGTTCATGATCCCAGAGTCCTGGTATCGAGTCTTGCAGTGGGCTCCTTGCTCAGAGGGGAGCCTGCTTGTTCCTCTGCCTGCTGCTCCCCCTGCTTGTGCTCGGTCTCTCTCTCTGACAAATAAAAAAAATCTTAAAAAAAATACTTAGAGGAAAGTGCAAACAAACACAACATACCAAAACATATGGGATGCAATGAAAGCAGTGCTCCCAGGAAAATTTATAGCTCACAAATGTCCATCAACTACTGAGTGGATAAATAAAATGTAACAAAGCCACAAAATGGAGTATTATTGAGCCTACGTTAAAAAGAGAAATTGAATCAGTAACCTAACTTTATACTGTAAGGAACTAGAAAAAGAAAAGCAAACTAAACTCGAGGCTTGCAAAAGGA